GGGAGGAGGGAGGAGGGAGGGAGGAGGGAGGAGGGAGCGAGGGAGTGAGAGGCCCGCTCACAAACACCAGCACCAGCACCCAGACAGTCTCTCTTTTGGACATACCGCTCACTGCTGGGCCAACGGCCAACGTGTCTTGAGCCAAACGACAGTAGTCATCCCACCTCTTAAAAGCTCCCCAGCAAGGAACTGAGACATCGCAAGTGGCTTCAAACGACACCAGCAAACAGGCGCTAACAACTTGAAACTGCAAACTATACAGGAAAACAAGCGCTGCACCGAGAAAAACTCGGTGTCGCACCAAACTACCAAGACATTTCAACCCTGGGCTCTTGGGTTTAGGGTTCAGGGTTTACGGGTTTAGGGTTTAGGGTCTAGGGTCTTCAAAGATCGAAGGAAGGACAACGGTCACTCTTTTCACACCTGGATGAGCCTTCACACAGCATATCAAGATCAGTCTTGTCGTGCAATGTTCTCCTACGTGGTGGAAGAACATACATCACAACATGCAGTGAAACAGGGGTCTGGGGCCTAGGGTTGCTTTGCAAAGTTTTTCCCCCCTTTCCTGGTTGCTTTTGCAGGCTTCCAGGAGCTCAAACCCGCCCACCCACACGGACGGACAAGTCTCAGCCCCCATGGAATGTACTGTTCCCACTTCCCAAAAGCCAAAGCCCAAGACTTCAAGGGAACTACCCTCAACCCTGAACCGAATTCCTCAACTTTAAACCCCAAACCCCAACCCTAAACCCTAAACCCTAAACCCTAAACCCCAGGTCATCTTTAACCTCTTCCTTGTGCTCTTCATGGTCCGCGCCCTTAAAGCGCAGCTCAAGAAGTCTCGAAATGCCATGGAGGCGAAGCTGAAGAGCAAGTGAGCTTAGAAACTACGGTACATGACCGCAGATCATAGGGCTCAAGGTTTAGGGCCAGGGGCGTATAGGGTTGGTGAGTGGTTTCGGGCTTGAGGGGTTTAAGGTTCAGGGCGTCCGGCCAATGATCACTGAATATGTTTTATCGAGCCAGGCATGAGATTGACGACGAGTTAAACCCTAAACCCTTATCGCACCCAAATAGAACCCTAAACCCTAAACCTCATACTCTTATGGCACCCAAATAGAACCCTAAACCCTCTCATGGCACCCAAATAGAACCCTAAACCCTAAACCCTAAATTCTTATGGTACCCAAATAGAACCCTTAAAGGAACCCTTCATAAAGGCACATGTATCACGGCGATGTGTGGAAGACCCTCGGCTCTTTCATCAGGGCCGGAGGGTTTAGAGATTCTAGGGTTGAGGAGCTGGGTTTAGGGTTTAGGGTTTAGGGTTTAGGGTTTAGGGTTTAGGGTTTAGGGTTTAGGGTTTAGGGTTGAGGAGCTCCACACCCCGAGTCTGACCTTGCAGAGGTTGAATAGTACCGCCAGATACTGTAGAAGCCTAAATAATTACCTATATTATTCCTTTCCTCAGGGCTCCTGAGTATAAGTATACTATAAAGGAGCACAAAACCCTGTTCTAATTATTATGGCCCCTACATTACCCCCAAAACCCTAGTCGAAGCTTTCAGCTCTTATGGAAACGATATTACCCACGCAGAGGAAAACAGAATTCAAGCCTGTACAGAAAGGAAACCAGTGAGCTTGAAGACCGGCGACCGATCCTGGTCCGAGGACCACAAAACAAAAAGAGTTTCACCCCCTGGGTTTGAAACTAAGGAAGCCAATGCTAACTTTGGGTCCTTAGTATGATTATAGTACAACATACCCCAAAAGGGCTTGATATATAAGCCTAAGTGATTGCCTAAATGATCACCCAAACCAGCCCCTCGGATTGCTAAGTAGAGTTCTGCGACAAAGGAGCCCAAAACCCTTCTCTAACTATTATTAAGGCCCTTATATTCCCACACCCTAAACTCTAAACCCTAAACCCCAAACCCTTACCACCTGGGTTTAGGGTCCCAGGGTCTTGGGTGTCGAGGGTCCAGGGTTAGACGGGTTTAAGGTTTAGGTTTGGAGGGCTGAAGGTTTAGCATATATTGGCATCGTTGTGGCATGGTTTTAGAAAGCAATGCAGGGTTATAATATGTATATATATATATGTTTAGTAACACGTTGCTTCATAGGGTGGTTCTGTGCTGGTAGCATAACGGGGTTCATGCTACGTCCAAGACCCAACGATTAACTGTTTGGAGCTCTTAACCCTAAACCCTAAACCCTAAACCCTAAACCCTAAACCCTAAACCCTAAACCCTAAACCCTAAACCCTAAACCCTAACCCCAAACCCACCACTCTGACACCCTAAGCCCTCTTTGATTTCTCGGCTTTTCGGGGTGGTCTCTAGATACAAACACGGCGCATAGCAGCGAACCAAGGCACTAGGGCTTCGGGGTCAGGCAGTCTTGCCAGTTGTGGGGGGGGGGGGGGCCGAAGAAGGGGTTCGGAATAGTGGGCAATAATACCCTAAGCCCTACGTAAACTCTACACCCGAAGCCCTGTCTATTCTTTTCAAAATAGAATTGACCCTTATAGCACTACAACTTGAAGGGCCCGAGCCCTAAGACCCACGCGCCTCGAACTAGGGCTTGGTTTCTTGATCCTCTACGTAACCCTCATAAAATCGGTAAACGGACCTGTTACAGGGTTTGCTGAAGAAAACACTACTCGCCCCCTAAGTCGTGAAGTTCGTTGATCCTTCACGCAAACCCGTAGAAAACCCAACAACTCAAGGGAACTCTTACAAAAGGAAAACTAGGGCTTCAAGGCTAATGACCCTCGAAGGAGACCCTGTTTAGGGTTTGGAGTTTAGGGTTTAGGGGCCTGAAACCCCAAAACCACCAAACCCCGCTTCCTAACCCTGAACCCTAAACTCCAATTCCTATGTGCGGCTTTTGTGGTCTTATGACTGGAGCGTCGTCTCTTTGAAAGGCGACTGGTCCTGGCATCTCTTGACCCAGGGTCGAAAGATCAAGTCTTGGGATTTATAGGGTGCTAGAAGGGTTCCATGAAGGGGTCTATAAACCCTTAACGCTCAACCCTAAACCCCGAACCGTATAAGGGTTCTACACGGGTCAACAGATCAAGCTTTAGGAGTTTGCGCTGTTGGTGCATTTTCGGGATTTAGGGTTTAGTTGCCGTGGTGTTTAGGATTTAGAGCTTCGGGGTTTTAGGGTTTGAGGGTTTAGGAATCAGGGTTTAGATAACGTGTCAGTATCCATATAGCTCAAATTTTCGGGCTCAGAGTGGGGCGAGGCTCTACTGGCATGTTCGGGGAGGAAAGATCTCAGGGTTTGGGGTTTAGGGTTGACGCCTCCGGGTTAAATCCCAAAGTTGAAGGGGCTTCTAAGTTGGTGTGGGCTTTGGGGCTCGGGTTTTATAGGGTTTTTGGGGTGTTGTTTCGACCCTGGCTCATTTGCATCGATGCATTGAAAGCACAGCTGGCTCCCACTGGGATGCGTGGTAGCTCTAGGTCTTGATTGCACGAACCTGTGTCTGCACTGGATTTGCTAGGGCCTTAGATTGGATCTTGTAGTCTGGGCTGTAGGATTAGGTTTACGGCGCGGGTTCGTGCTTAATGCGAAACCCTTCAGAAACCGTTGTGTGCTTCGCGCAGCTCGGAGCATGCAAAAGAGCTGGAAGTACGTTGGTCGGTTTCAGGAGATGACGGCTTGATCATAGACACCAACACTGGTGATAATAGCAACAATATAGTAGTGATGGAAATAGTAGTAATGATAGTAATCATACTAGCAATATTACATGTATCTGACGGCTTCAGAGACCAGGGGTTTAAGCTGATTGCAGGCGCCTGGGGGCTTGGAATCCATCCAGGCTCCGATGACGTCTTAGCGGCTTTAGGTGGCTTCGACGCTCTTTCAGATATGTTATCTAAAATACCTGTTAGATAACAGATAAGGACGCGACATACAATACCGGATTTGGAGCCTAAGCCTTAAGTGATACCAAAACCGTTTGTGGCGTGGCTTCGGTTGCAACGGCAGAGGGATCAGGATCAAGACATCAGGTTTAGTGCAGCGTTGAAATCGAAACTTCAAAACCAAGTACTCTTCCAACAATCCTCATAAAGCCCCTCCAGGAAAAGCCTCGGAAGACCCTACAGACCTTGAGCCGTGCGCTCCGAACCCTTCGATCCCGAACTCTCGAGCATCCAGGCCCAAAAACTCTTTGAACCTAGCGTTTCCAAGGCGCCCGATACCCCTTAACATGCAGGGTTATCCTTTGGCTTATAGAGGGACTCTTAATACGTCTTAGGTTCTAACCTCAGTGCTCTTCTTCTGCAGGTCCCAGAAACGAAATATAGGGTTTCGGGTTTAGGGCTTTTAGCCAGTTCAGTGGTTTAGACCCTAAGCCCTAAACCCTAAACCCTAAACCCCAAACCCTAAACCCTAAACCCTAAACCCTAAACCCTTAACCGTAACCCTCAACCCTAAACCCTTCAGGGTTTAGGGAATTTCAGTGGTTAAGGGGTGTAGCCCTGAGAATCGGGCAGGTGCCGGGCTGTGCTGGGTGGCCTCCAGGCTCTTCCGCGGCTTTTTGGGCTGAGGCTTTAAAGGGGCGTTTAGGGTTTAGAGTTTGGTTTTAGGGTTTAGGGTTTAGGGTTTATTTAGGGTTTAGGGTTTAGGGTTTAGGGTTTAGGTTTTAGGGTTTAGGGTTTAGGGTCTAGGGCTTAGGACTTTGGGTATAGGGTTTAGGGTTTAGGGCTTTGGGTTTGGGCTTGAGGACTTTTCTGAGAAGCTGGCATCAAGTAAGTCTAGGCATGAGTCCGGGGCGTTCCCTAATCCCTAAACCCTAAACCCTAAACCCTATACCCTAAACCCTAAACCCAACGTTGAGTCTGAATCTGGGAATCTGAGGGATTGGGGTCCAGGCATGTGCGGCCGAGGCCAATATAGGGCCTGAAGAATTACCTAGACTATTTTGGGGGTTCCTTTTTATGGTATAATATACCCCAAAACCCTATTCTAAATTATTAAGGCACCTACATTATTCTCCCGTACCTACACAGTAGCGAATCAGGAATAAACAGACGACGGGAGACAGGGCGTAACTTGTTCCAAGCTCCGGATAGTGCAAGAGTGTGGGCAGATGTCTGACGTAGGCCAAGGGGGGCACGCGAAGGTGCATACAGTGTTCGATGAGGTGTAGTTGCAGATTGCGTCTCCTGCGTAGCAGGAGATCGATGCCGATGTTATCGTGACGTAAGACACACACAACTAATGTAGGGGCCTAAATAATTACCAATACTATTGTGGGGGTTCCTTACTATAATTATACTATAATGGGCCCCAAAACCCTATTCTAATTATTAAGGCCCGTATGTTCAGACAGACACAACTACACAAGATACACGACGGTCTGGACTCGCGGGTGTCTATGTGGAAGCTCGCTGACTTCCCACTACACAGTGGTGTTGCCAGAGGCCCCGTGTGCCAGAGAACTCCTGCCGGATGACCGGCATATTGAAAGAAGTTCGAAGGCCTCTGTGTGTGCCAAGAAGATGGATGGAGAGTGGCAGTCGATGCTCTGCTGAACTGTCGAATCGGGTGGTAAATCCCATGCTCACAAGTCACAAGTGTCGTTCTCAAACATAGTGGGACCATCTACGCTTTCGAAGTGGCCGTGCGGAGCCTCCACAAGCTGGTCCATGAGAGCCAGACGGACGAGCGCCGTGCCAAGCTGAGCCTGGCGACCAATCAGCCGCGGGCCCTAGCGTTCCGCTTGCTCTTCAACCATTGCTCCTTCTGGTGCGCCAAACACATGCGCGACAAGCTGGGGTGCACTTTGACTTCCGATGTTTATCGTTCTGATCATTCATCCTTTCTCCCTGCAAGCTAGACTGCGCATAGTCCCGAACAGATG